ATATACTATTTATTGTCAGGTGAATATATGTTTTGAAGCGTCCGTTGACGAGTTCTTGTTCAAATCAAGTGAGAATTTTATTTGAATTTTGAAAAGTTATAAATCCATTAAATTTTTTTGTTACATGTATTTATCTATTCAGGAATTGATAGTAAGTTAATGTCTAATTAAGTTCTGTGATCGAAGTGATTTCGCCATTAATCATATTAACACTACTATTTAATTCTTTGTATAAATTGCTTCATTATGATATAAAGCATAAGCGGCACATTTAATATATATATATATATATATATATATATATATATATATATATATATATATAACTAGACTCGTTTTGAGAGAAACCTCGAATTTTTGATTTGTCAATCAAATCAATTTCGAGGGAAAAAAAAGGTTTTAAAAAAGAAAGAGCTACAAACATAAACTTCTGTCGACAAAAAATCGCACAGATGCAGGTCTGAAGCCAAAAGAAAACCCCGATACGAGTAACAACTAACTAACAAAGAGCTCAATACAACCGTAGAGCAGACCTTCTTCACCTAATAGACAAACCTACCTAGGTTTCTAAACGGATCGTCAGGGAAATATAGGAGGACTTCCTGACGATCCGTTTAGGTGAAACCCAGGTAGGTTTGTTCACTAGTGTATCTATATATATATATATATATATATATATATATATATATATATATATATATATATATATAGTTATGAAGAACTTGGTAAACTGAATGGGTAATTCCAAGGAGGATGGAATCTGAGAGCTCAATGTATATACAGAGCTAATATTTAATGCCAAAAACAGACCATTTTAGGTACCATTACAATAATTTATTTCTTTAAAATTCCAATAACGAAATTCATTTCGTTGTTGGAATTGTTACCTGATGATCCGGAGTCCTTTAAAAAAGGATTTTGGTGAAATAAATTATTGTAATGGTACCTTAAAGTGGTTGTTTTTCATAAAATATATATATATGTATATATATATTCTAATATATATAAATATATATATATATGTTCTATATATATATATATATATATATATATATATATATATATATATATATATATATATATATATATTATCTGAGTTTGGATCAAAAATGTAAATCAAATAATGATCGGAGTCCGACAGAATGATAAGATAAAGAACAAATAGGAAACATTTATCAATCTAATGAGTCGGATTCACGTGAGTCGGATTCACGTGAGTCGGATTCACGTGATTAACCAATGAAAATCCAACACCATAAGAGAAAAAATACCATTCTTCTTTTCTCTATATCTCATTCTCTGATGAAGATTTAATAAAAGTGCAGTATGTTAGATTGATAAACCTGTTCTACTTGTCTTTATCTTTTCATATATATATATATATATATATATATATATATATATATATATATATATATAAAAGAAAGAGGTTGTAGTGGTTCCAACGAGAGAAAAGTATGTATATTAAAAAGAAGAGAAGAGACGTTTTTGGTTGTAATCTGGATTTATTTAGAAAAAAAATATTATGCTTTGTTTTAAATAATTGTACTACACGTGTTTCTGGTCTCGTGACCGTCTTCAGGTAAAAGGCGGAGATCTCCACATATTATTAAAAATAATTAATTTTTTCTTTTATTTTTCAATGTTAAATATTCTCGATATGAGACATTTTCTGTGTTCAAGAAAGAAATTCGAATTACTAACACAGAGTGTCACCTCTAAGTTTTGACTTCAATGTTCACTTTTATACTTACACACGCTCTACCTCTGATATTGAGCACTTTATCCCCTAAATATAGTACACCTTAAGCCTATATTTCTTCATATATATATATATATATATATATATATATACTAATCAAATGAATATTAGGTTATTTTTTTTGTTTTAATAATGTTTTCATTTTCCGGTTATTTATTTATTTTTATTTTTTTAACGGCACAGTCATAGAATCATTACAAATTGCGAATTGACGTATCAGCTCATTCTCAAAATAAATAATGTCATAAAAAAGGAGTGTATCGATAGATCAAGCCCGATAGCTATCGACTGACCAGACAGAGTGAAAAGGTAACCATTTGTCATTTACGCTCTGTTAATTCCAAATCAGGGGTTTGTTACTGGCGTGAGATTCTCACTTCTTAATTTTATCAAATGCGGGCGTCGAGGGAAAAAAGCCGTTGAAAAGAAGTGATTAATGAAACAGCAGAAACAAAACAAACGGGGTAATATTTCAATTACATCTAGTGCTTATATATATATATATATATATATATATATATATATATATATATATATATATATATATATATATACGGGCTGTCCATAAAATTCGTGGGTACTTTTAAAAATTTATAACTTTATTTGTTTTTTGATAGAAATAATTGGTAAAAAGGATTAGAAAGAAGTAAATCTATATTTTTTTAAAGTTTTATTTAAATTTTATTTAAGTTTCCCCATGTCCTCCATCATTAACAATACAAAGGGTAATACGATTTTGCAGTTCACGGAAAACAATTGCCAACTGATTTACAGTAATGTCTGAAATCACAATAGTTATTTTAGCTATACTTAAAACTAGGTACATTAAACTTTATAACATTTTTTTACTGATTATTTCTATCGTAAATACAAATAAAGTTATAATTTTTTAAAGTGAGAGGATGAAACGCGTTATTAAGAATTGATTTTCCTCCTGTCTTTTTATTGACACATACATACATATATATATATATATATATATATATATATATATATATATATATATATATATATATATATATATGTATTGATTTAAAACTATTGCTGGTAATGTCTTTTTCAAAAAATATATAGCTGGTAATATTTTTTTCCTTCCACAATTTATTCCTGGTAATAATTTTTTACAAAGTATTTCTGGTATTAAAACCTATTTTTTACATTTTTATAGTATTATGGGGTTACCAATTACTCCATAGCTGGGACCCTAACAGGTGCTACCACCCCGAATCGGGGTGGACCTGGGAACACTGGCAATTAAGAGTTAATTCCACGCTCTTCAAAATCTAATGATCAGAAGCATTACCCAGGACGCCAATATCGTTTTTCACAGGACTCCTCATTTGGTGGGGTCTTACATCTCTGCAGAGGTGCAGTCAGCGTATTCTGAACTCCCAGCCAACGTGGTGTTATATATATATATAATATATATATATATATGTATTATGAAATGGACAAAGTCCGACAATTATTTTTAGCCATTTTATGTTTATACATTTTATTTCTCTCGCAAATACAAAGGAAGTCATAAATTTTTTAAAGAGAACACGAACTTTATGGACAACCTGTATATATATATATATATATATATATATATATATATATATATATGTGTGTGAGTGTGTATTAGATGTAAATGAAATATTACCCCGTTTGTTTATATATATATATATATATATATATATATATATCCGTATAGGATACAGGTTCGAATCCTGTCGGAGGACGAATATTTTCTGTGAAAATATCTCTGACATTCAGGCCGGTAAATGCTTAATACTTTTTATTATAAGACAGAACATTTACTGAAATATATGGAGGGATGATGTACTCGCAGAAATTGTCTGACATCCATGATTGAGTTCTCCTGCTTCATGGGAGCAATAGTGAGAGGAAAAACATCACCCAGGACTGCAGTCATGGTGCCAACATTCATACTCTGGCTTCCATCTTCAACGTTCATTCAAAAACCATCCAGAGAATGGTGAAGAAGTTTAAAAAAGATGGACTTGTAAAGGGGAAAACTAGATCAAGAGGTCACAACAGAAAGAGGGACCATCATTTCAACTTAGGGATAAAGTGATCAATTAGAAAAGATCTAACTCAATCCATAAGACGCTTGGCACGTTAGAGAGAAGTTTCAGCCATGACAGTCCAAAGATCAGTGAAAAACTCTTGAAAATGAAAGCGTACGTGAAACGTGTGAGGCACCTTGTTACTACAGGACAGAAAGTTAGAAGGTTAGAGAGGGCGAAGAATATCTTGAATATCTTGTAAAAATGATCCAAATATAAAATATATATATATATATATATATATATATATATATATATATATATATGAACTTTATTTCAATGCTTATGAGCTACCGATACTTAGCTATGATTAATTAATGATGAACATATAATTTTCGTTTATGATCGATTTCCTCACGATTCTTATGTTAAGCTTGGAAAGTAATTATATTTTCTATTTGCTCAAAGACAGTTCAATAGTATTATAAAAAACCTCGTAGAATTCCAGTAAAATATATTTAATCATTTGTAAGATACAACGGTTCAAATGGAACAATTAGATAATTTTGATGTTAAACAATTTATACAATTTCGCTGTTACATCTAGCATAATATATATATATATATATATATATATATATATATTAATAATATTAGTGGTAAATATACATATACATATGCAAAATATATAAATACCCATACATGTATATTTTTAGAATAAAAATTCCAAGAGGAAGAATCCAGGTAGAACTCAATGTCTAGGACAGAGTAAGGATATAATAAAAAGGCTTAAGCACTAATATTCCATGGTCATAATTTATTCTATTGGAATCGTAAATACTAAAATCGTAAATACTAAAATCCTAAAATTCTCTCTGTTAAGGTTTAATCTCCCTCCTTCTCTAGTCTGTTACCCCCCTCTTTAGCTCTCGTCCCTCCTCCTCATACTTACACTCTCTCTAAATTCTGTTTTTATTTCCGGAGTTGTTCTTTTCTGTTTTCTTTTGAATTTTTGTAGGTCTGATGAATTGATCGTATTTACGATTCCAATGGAATAAATTATGACCATGGAATATTAGTGTTTAACCTTTTTTTATATATATATATATATATATATATATATATATATATATATATATATATATATATATATATATATATGTGTGTGTGTGTGTGTGTATAATATAATATAACAAAATAACACCAAATCCGCTACCCAGAGTTTCATGCAAACGCCACCATCAGGCAATACCTTGAAATATCTATCTATCTATCTATCTATCTATCTATCTATCTATCTATCTATCTATATGGGAAGCTACGATTCTTTCAAACTTGTTTCGTCGAATATGACAGACATGGGAAATTTTATGAATATTTTATTGATTATTTTCTAATGTTTTTAAAGATTTTCCGTTCGATATGGGCAAAGTAGTGTAAAAATTGTCTGTAGCATCTATTGACCCAAGAGCTTTCGGCCAATTATTTCGCCATTTTCAAGGATTTTCTTGTTAAGAATTGTTCATTTATCTTCCTGGTTGGCTTAAGATACAGTTGTGTGATGGCTATATAGCAGTAGCGTTTATTCCGAGCCCCGCGAAAGAGACGTGGCTGGAATTCGAGTTAGTTTCCGTTAGTAAATTGGGATTAGTAAATTAGTAATTAGGATTAGTAATGGGTTCCAGAATTTTTATGTAGAGTGCTTCTTTCACAGCGAGAGATTTTCAGTTATTCGTTTTATGAAGGATAATACTGTTATCAACTAGAATTTCACTTAGGGCGTCTTGTATATTTTGCTTGGTTAATTGCCTTTTTTATGGTACTTTGATCCGATAAGTGACACGTTAGCCATCTGTTTAAGGAGGTACTAGTATGACCGATATCGGTAATTGATTTATGACTGGAAACAGTCTTGTACTGGGCAGTAAAATTGATACACTATATTGGTAATCGCTAGTTTAGATTTGTTGGGGTTATTTTGATTAGTGACAAGGTTTGTGGTCTTCCATTTTGTGTAATATATTATAAATTTTACATGTTTTTCGTGTATTATGGCAGAAATATGGTGATTAATTATTTTTCATATAGCAAATATATCAGAGACAAACAAACAGACAGAAAGTGGAAAATAAGAATCCACTGTCATTGGTGACTATATATATAACCCACAGAAGGTGTAGTATTATAGTAGCATTATTATTAGTATTATAGTAGAATTATTGGGGTTAATTTGATTAGTCACTACAGTTGGCGGTTTTCCTTTTTCTATAATATAATACAATTTTACTTGTTTGTCAGAGTATACGGCTGATATAGTGATTTTCCAAGTGTAGCTTAGATGTGGCACAATGCCAAATGTATGGGGCACCCAGTGAGGATCGAACTCACTACTCAGTCGTAATTGTTCTAGCGAGACAAGCTTGCTAACAATTAAACCGCCTTGAGGTGCTTTATTGTTTGAAACAAGTTTCATTAAAATTTGATCGTGATTGACTAAATTCAAGACTGTGTCGATTTTAACGAGGTTTATTTTGACTAAAAATTGTGGCGTTTTTTGAGTCGAGTTTTTTAACGTCTAAAAATGAACATGAATAGAAAATGAAAGTATCTTAGAATCGACATTGTTCTGCTGTTTGCTTTTTGTGTTTATTTTCACGTATTCTTTTTTTTAATCTTCCCTCTTCAGCCGTTATGACCCTGTTATTTTTCGCGTGATTTTTTAAAAAGTAAATGATATATCAGTCATATTGCTGTTACGAGCAGGGGAACTATATATATATATATATATATATATATATACATACATATATATATATATATATATATATATATATATATATATATATATATATATACCTTCCCTGTCGTCGATGTAAATCGTTATTGCCACTGTACAGAAAGTCTTGTGTAGGGAGGAAGTTGCTGCATAAAATAGGGAGTTCAGATCCATTCTCCAAGACAAGTAGTTAAATACCAAAAATATATGGAATAAATGACCAGAAGCTATTATTTTTCATCTTCGAGAACAATTACTAACAGAGAGGAGCCGACATTCACAAGGGAAAAGCAAGAGAAAAAAACAGAGATAAGAAACTCAGATAGATATAGACATTTCACCATACCTCCAAGAGTAAAAAAAAAAAAAAAATCTAATCGAATATAAATTTCCTTAATAGCGAGCGATTTCCTAAAAGATTTTTCTCTTTCAAATAGTCTATCATCACATTGATCGATGCCGGAAGAAACTGACAGAATGACATCACGCTCAAGAGTGATGCCCAGTGCGCATGTCCAGAAGAATTGATGAGTGTTTGTGCTTGCAAATGCAATACCAATGAATGCTAATGAGGATATGATCGGTCAATGATTGGCTGGGGACAAAACCGGTAAGGGGTGGGCTGAAAGAGAGAGAGAGAGAGAGAGAGAGAGAGAGAGAGAGAGAGAGAAATAATCCTGAAAAGAAAGAAAAGAAAAGGGATGAGAAGGACAAAAATGGACGCAAAGAAGAAAGCAGAGACGGAAATGGAAGTAAATTACGATTAAAGAATGAAAAAAAAAAATAAAATAAATAAAATGGAAGCATAATCTGATCGGCTTAGATTAACAGTGAGTTGGTTCGATTCTGTCTTCCGCGGACTCATTCTGCTTTATCGATGCTAGGCTGTTCATAAATCGCTATGTATTCATCTTATTACCTGTTGGAAAGTATCTATCTATCTATCTATCTATCTATCTATCTATCTATCTATCTATCTATATATCTATCTATCTATCTATCTATCCCAGTCTGTTCATATCTATCTATCTATGTATCTATGTATCTATCTATCTATCTATCTATCTATGTTCCTTGTCTATCTTCTATGTCTATTTAAATCTATCTATGTAGGTCTGTTCAAATCTATCTATCTATCTATCTATCTATCTATCTATCTATCTATCTATCTATGTTCCTTGTCTATCTTCTATGTCTATTTAAATCTATCTATGTAGGTCTGTTCAAATCTATCTATCTATCTATCTATCTATCTATCTATCTATCTATCTATCTATCTATCTATCTTACTGTCATTTACTATTGTTTCTTTACGTAACTTTCCTTCTTTTTTCTTTTCACGTTTCTCCTTACACTTTTTGTTCTTTTTCTTTCCTTTATTTTTACTCTCATATCTCCTTAGGTCTGTTTTATTTTCAACTCTCTCTCTCTCTCTCGCTCTCTCTCTCTCTCTCTCTCTATCTATCTATCTATCTATCTATCTCAGTATGTTAAAATCTATCTCTTCATATTTTCAGGGTCACTCCATTTATATATAAAAATGTCTTAAAAATAATTGTCGAACTTTGTCCATTTCATAATGTGTGACGTCATTTGTTTACATTTGGATACGCTTTGAGCAGATATCAATGTACGTGAGAGATTCATGGAAGATTGAAGTTTAAAAGCAGTAAAATAAACCTTGCCAATCGAATGATTCTCCGTGGCTCGATCGGTACGTCAGGCTATATGAGGGTTCCGTATAGGATACAGGTTCGATTCCTGTGGGAGAACGAATATTTTCTATGAAGATTTCTCGGTAAATGTTATTAATACTGTTTATTATAAAACAGAGCATTTACTTAAACATTTGCATCTACAAAAAGAATGTATAAACATAAAAATGTCTAATATATATATATATATATATATATATATATATATATATATATAAACAGTACATTTCTTGCCACATTAAACTGGAATATACGGCAAAATATTCGTGAATATAAAAGGATTATGATCAAAATAAGCCGACATAACGTTTGTTATTTATTCAGTCAGACATGCCTGAAAGAGAATTTGCTACCTAAATATACATTCATATATATATATATATATATATATATATATATATATATATACACACACACACAGATAGATATATATGAATGAGATAGATATGAACGAATTAAAATAGATATAGAAATGAACAGATAGAAATAGATATGAACAAACTACAATTTGCTACCTAAATACTTTGATTGGTGTATTTCATAATCTTGTCAATAGCTGAATTCTTGATGCTTCGCTAGGGCTATCAAGGGTCGTGACACCAACACTAAATGGATTAACAACCAAGGCTTAGAGAGACTCCATTCACCCTTTTCTAAGAGCAGGTTTTGAATTCAGAGTTTTCCTTCTCCTAGACCAGTTGCCATCCAAGGCTATAGAACCCAGTCTGTCCTGCTATTTACCCATAGCTGGAGGGAGAAAAGAGGATTCATACCTTTCCCAAGCATGTAAGTTAATGTAATGGAATCGGCTGGAATTCGAACTCGGCTCTCCGATTCCCTCAATCCAAGCCGCTATCCATTACTCCACCGTGCCTCCTAACAAACACACATATATACATATATATATATTTCAATGTGTATATGTGTAATTAATTTTATATATGTATCTGGGTGTATATCAGTCAGTTTATATCTGATCATATCTCAATTTATTCCTATCTATCTATCTATCTATCTATCTATCTATCTATCAGAGTATGTTCCTTTCTATCTCTCATCCTATTTTTAAGGTAACTCCATATATATATATATATACATATATGTGTGTGTGTATGTGTATGTGTGTGTTGTAGGTGTGAATATGTCTCTTTCAGTGTTTTCATATCTTTCACTCTTCCAATCTATCTAAATTTCTTCGTAGGTATCTCTCTCTCTCGATATATATATATATATATATATATATATATATATATATATATATATATATATATATATATAGGAGAGAAAAGCTTTAATTTTGGAATTTTCGAACACTAAAACAGGGACCAAAGAAATGATATCAATACATAAAATACATATATATATATATATATATATATATATATATATATATATATATATATATATATATATATATATATATATATATATATATGTGTGTGTGTGTGTGTGTGTCTGTGTGTACAGGGCTGGATTAACCATTAAGAAAAAAATAAGCACGTGCTTAAGACCTGAAGGGAAGAGGACCACAGAAATTGTAATTATTTGATGTAGACGCATTAATCATTGAATCAACGTGGCGCCATTATTAAGGAAGTGACAGCAGATCCGCAGCGAATATTTATCGGCATTCTCATTGGTCAATAAAGAATTGGGCAAAGTTAGATAATGGTTTGTATTCGCTCAGTTCATCCCATCTGTTCTCTTGAATAAGTTATTATAACTAATTAACTTAATGGGATTTAACTTCAGTGAACAGGGGTAGAGTACCTTCATGTTCGTTAGGCTTTAGTCCGGTCATATGTCCATGCGATTCTTTAACACGCTAGATTGGTGATTACAAGACACATCTGGTCAAAGTTCTCTTAAAATCCGGTCGTGGCTTATTTGAGGGCGGGTGCGCAGCTGTCATTGGTTCTTTCTTGGTTGGTGTTGTTCTGGGTTCTAACTGATCCTCAGCCTCTCACAATGGTTGTATTTACCTTTGATTCCTTCTATATTTACTTCCAGGTAAACATTTCCACGATGTACGTACTTTGTTGATATCCTTTCTTTGCACCAACCACCGAGACTTGTGTAACTGACTCGCAGATGTATGGGGATCTCAAAATCTTTCCGGCACTTAGGGACCCTATGGGTCTTAATCAAGCCCTGCATTTGAGGTCTTTGAAACTTGAACACCAACGTGCAGCAAAATAACACTAGCAATTTATGCAACTGTAGAAATAAAATTAGATGTCCATTAAATGGGGCTTCTTGCAAAACGGCATCTATTATTTATAAAGCAGAAGTATATAGGCCGCAAGAAAGGCCCTTTCAATCAAACATCGAGTTTTAAGCTACCAAACCTTAGATACACCACTAAACTTGCCAGCCACATGTGAAATTTAAAAGAAAAAATAACAGGGAAACTAATAATGATTTTTACTATAGGAATGCATTGGAAAATCATTTTTACTATAGGAATGCATTGGAAAATCATTTTTACTTTAGGAATGCATTGGAAAATCATTTTTACTATAGGAATGCATTGGAAAATCATTTTTACTATAGGAATGCATTGGAAAATCATTTTTACTATAGGAATGCATTGGAAAATCATTTTTACTATAGGAATGCATTGGAAAATCATTTTTACTATAGGAATGCATTGGAAAATCATTTTTACTATAGGAATGCATTGGAAAATCATTTTTACTATAGGAATGCATTGGAAAATCATTTTACTATAGGAATGCATTGAAAATCATTTTACTTTAGGAATGCATTGGAAAATGATTTTACTATAGGAATGCATTGAAAAAATGATTTTTACTATAGGAATGCATTGGAAAAGGATTTTTACTATAAGAATGCATTTAAAATGATTTTTACTTTAGGAATGCATTGGGAAATCATTTTTACTATAGGAATGAATTGGAAAATGATTTTTACTATAGGAATGCATTGGAAAATCATTTTTACTATAGGAATGCATTGGAAAATCATTTTTACTATAGGAATGCATTGAAAAATCATTTTTACTATAGGAATGCATTGGAAAATCATTTTTACTTTAGGAATGCATTGGAAAATGATTTTTACTATAGGAATGCATTGGAAAAGGATTTTTACTATAGGAATGCATTGGAAAATGATTTTTACTATAAGAATGCATTTAAAATGATTTTTACTTTAGGAATGCATTGGGAAATCATTTTTACTATAGGAATGAATTGGAAAATGATTTTTACTATAGGAATGCATTGGAAAATGATTTTTACTATAGGAATGCATTGGAAAATCATTTTTACTATAGGAATGCATTGGAAAATCATTTTTACTATAGGAATGCATTGGAAAATCATTTTTACTATAGGAATGCATTGGAAAATCATTGTTACTTTAGGAATGCATTGGAAAATGATTTTTACTATAGGAATGCATTGGAAAATGATTTTTACTATAGGAATGCATTGGAAAAGGATTTTTACTATAAGAATGCATTTAAAATGATTTTTACTTTAGGAATGCATTGGAAAATCATTTTTACTATAGGAATGCATTGGAAAATCATTTTTACTATAGGAATGCATTGGAAAATCATTTTTACTTTAGGAATGCATTGGAAAATCATTTTTACTATAGGAATGCATTGAAAAATCATTTTTACTATAGGAATGCATCGGACAGTGACTTTTAATGTATGAATGCTTTGGACAATGGATTTTTAACATAGGAATGCATTGGACAATGGTTTTTACTATAGGAATGCATTAGTCGTAAAGTGGACAATTTTAAAAAAGGTAAAAACTTATAAAAATTATACCCGCATTTGGAAACTATGCCAATATAAGAAATTAGCAATGATGACATTCCTGGACTTAAAAAATCTTTTACACCAAAAATCAGAAATTTTAAACCCTAGCCTTAATATGAAACAATTTTTATTAACTGAATATGAAGCCGGTTAAAAAAAAATCTAAAAAAAACAAAAAAAAAAACCAAACACTGTTACCCTTTAGACACAGGATGATCTTATGGGATGACCTGATATATATATATATATATATATATATATATATATATATATATCAGGTCATCCCATAAATTCTGTTCGAATTTTGAATAAACAAAACAAGTGACCAAATGTTACATTTAATTACAGATTCAATCAACAATGTATTATCCCTGATTATCTATGACTTCCTTCCATCTATTAACAAGCTTACTAATTCCATTACTGTAAAATTCTTTTGGCTTTGATTCGAAGAAATCACAAATGTCAGTTTTAACCTCTTCCTGTGTTACAAAAGCTGTTTCTTCCAAATGATTCTGTAAGCTACGAAACAAATGGTAGTCTGAAGGAGCAAGATCGGGATAATAAGGTGGATGAGGAATCTTCTCCCAACCAAGTTCTTCGATCTTTTGTGACGTGATTCTTGCTGTGTGGGGTCGTGCATTGTCCTGATGAAACATCACCTCTTTTCGATTCACTAGAACAGGTCTTTTTTTCCTCAAAGCTTGGTTCAAACGCTCTAATTGCTGACAGTATATTTGAGCATTAATTGTTGCATTAGGTGGTAAGAATTCAAAGTGGATTATTCCTTGGCGATCCCACCAGATTGAAAGAAGAACCTTTTGCCCATGAAGTTTCCTTCTCGGCTGTGGCTGGGGTCCTTCCCCTTTACCAAGCCACTGTCTGCGACGCTTAACATTTCGATAAAAGATCCATTTTTCATCACCAGTCACAAGTCTATCCAAAAAAGGTTAAACAAGTTGGCGAGAATGGAGAGAAGAGCAGATGTCAACTCGGGATTTGAGGTTGATTTCAGACAATTCATGAGGAACCCATTTTCCAAGTTTAGGAACATTTCCAAGTTGTTGAAGATAACGATGAACAGTAGTATGGTTTGAATTGTGAACCACTGCCAATTCCTCAACTGATAAAGCAGGATTTTCTTCAAGGGCTTCTTCAAGAAGCTTTTCATCAAACTCAACTGGACGTCCGGTTCGATCTTCATCTTCAAGGGTGAAATCTCCACCTCTGAATTTTGCAAACCATCTTCTGCAAGTTCTTTCATTCACACATTCCTCTCCATAAACTGAGTGAATGTTTCTAGCCGCTTCGGCTGCTGAGTTTCCTTTCTTGAACTCATAAAGCATTATGTGCCTCAAATGATTCTTGGGTACTTCCATGTGAGCAGGGTTTTAATCAAACAAAATTTAATTTTATTGTTCTCTGAAATAAAATTTGATCAGTTTAAATGCATCTAAACATAAAAATAATGTTCAGCTCCATTAAACATTATAAAATACTCTTGAAATTTTGCTCATTTTAACAAAAAGTTAAAATTCGGACAGAACTTATGAGAATACCTTATATATATATATATATATATATATATATATATATATATACGACACAATAGTTATACAGCAGGATCAAATGGGGTTCTATAGCCTTGGTTGGCAAACTTGTGGCAAGGTATCGAGTAAATACCGAGGAATTAAGGATTAGATTTCGTTTAGCTCTGCAACTCGACCACTCTGGCTTCAAGGAGAGAGGTACCCAGACAACACTATACCTACGGGCAGAAGGGTAGAGTCTCGTTACGAGATGTTGACCAACCCGATCCCTTTTATACGGGTTCTACGGTCATTTTTTGGCCGAGCCTACTGGCTCGGGAAACCCACGTTAAACTCAGCCTTGTGCCACATGCAACCCTCGTGGTGGGGTGGCTAGATACCGAATCGACCCGAGCTTCTCGGCTTGACGGTCGATTCTCTGCCTCTGAGCAGAGAGGAACCCGTCCGAGGCTCCACCGAAGGGCAGAACATCGTTCGGGGAGGTTGACCAACCCGATCCCGTTTATACGGGTTCTACGGGCATTTTTTGGTCGAGCCAACGGGCTCGGGAAACCCACCTTAAACTCGGCCTTGTGCCACATGCAACCCTCGTGGGGGTGGCTAGATACTGAATCGAGCCGAACTTCTCGGCATTACGGTGGAACTCTCTGCCTCTGAGCAGAGAGGAACCCGGACGAGTCTCCGCCGAAGGGCAGAGACTTGTTCGGGGAGGTTGACCAACCCGA